AATACGACAACGGAAGAGGTCAGTTGGAGTACAAAGACGCTACACACACAAACATATATCGGAATTTCGAAAATCATAGATCATGAATATTCAGCATGTTTATTTTCGGTTTTGCCTGCAGAGTAGAACAACACTTAGGGATCACTTAACCCGGCGTCTGTCTGTCTATCTGTCCGTCCGTCTGTGCCTTATGCCTTTTGTTGATTACCATTGTGCTAACTTTTAAAGCTTTGAAGTTGACCTTCGACCTTACTTAAAAATAGTATATAGAGCCAATATACAGTTTAACATACCAAAATTATACTATTTTACCCTTATGTGTATGTCCATCAGTATGTCGAGCTGTCAAATAATTTCAAGTTCGTTATTCATTTTATTCTTGAAAGTTAAGAATCATGTATTATTCAATTGTCATATTTTATATTGTTAATTGTCTATCGAAGTAATTTTATTCGAGGCTTTTTTCCTTGTTTGCCTGTCTAGTCTAAGAGTTAGCTACATTTTTATTGATGCGTTAAGGCATGCGACACATGCGTTTGTTGGAAGAATCTAGATTTTTAACAATAAATATACTTCATACCTTTGTTTAGATTGATATATTTTGGCGTCGTACCCTTGGTCCTATTGGAAGAGACCGCATCTATACCTTGATGTTTGCGGACAGACTGGAATTTCTGGTTGCCAAACAAGCAGCAGAAAATTTACGCAATCTTCTTCTGGAGAAAGAGATCAAAGGTATAAAGAATTAAGATTAACATCTAAAAATCGTTTTTGTTTTTGTCTAAAAGTAAGATGAAAGTTGAATTATGTAATTTATCATTGCAGAATTTCAGTTGGTAATATTCTGCAGCTCAGAAAATGAAGCAAAGTCTGTAATTGTAGCAGAACTGAACAAATACCGAAGAAATCCGCCTCTTCACATTGTTTTGTCAGATATTAAACATTATGTAAAGGATAATGTATTGAGGAGGAAAGGGCCGAACTCGTAAGCATATTTATTTTACAAAATGAAGAAATTCTAATTTAAGTTTTGATCAGTTAAATATTTATCAAAGTAAAAAAAATGCATACTTATTTTTTACTCAGAGTAAGCTTGGTTATCTCGAAAAGACCAGGACTTGGCAAAACATTCTGGAAAAGGAAAACGTCCAAATTGATTCCCAATGTAAATCTCATCGGCGTACCTCTGTATCAGAGGCGATCAGATGTTGACAAAGTTATGACCGTTCTTCAAAAACACCGTGATAAAGATGGAAGAAATCTTGTCCACATTGATATTTCTCCAGAGGTTACTAAAGTGCATTTTAAGATTTATTATATGCATGTCTTTTTCATATTAGTTTATGTACATGCATATTGAATAAACGAATTATGTTTCAGGTTTCTGAAGGCGTAGATTACCTTTTGTTCAACCTGGTGATAATCAAAACTTTGATTGACAGTTCAGGAAATATATGGATAAGAAAACCAGAAGACGTTTATATCATTGAATACTTATGTGTTCAAGAGGTATAGTCAGAGGACTCATAGTTTTGTTTATATACAGCTGTATACAAGTACATATTCCTTGAATCAATAGATAAGATACTAAAAACTTTTTCGAAATTTAATAGGTCGGAAAATTTCACAAAATACTAGAGATTCTACCAGTGATGGAATGTAGATCCCCCAAAGAAAGTATTCACACAGAAAAACTTTCAGGTAAATGTTTTTCTTTGTGAAATTTGAATGGAAATTGTTTTACTAGTAAACAACAGTTATGGCTTATAATGATTAGTTTTAACACAATTTGTTTTTTTTTTCATTTGAAGACAAAGACCAGGGATTTGATCATGAAGAATTCAAGTCAGAAGTATTTCAAAGACCATACCAATATTTAAAGAAGTTTAAAACAAAAAATCTAACCGGCAGTTTCCGTTACAAAAGTCCAGATGGAAATCCAAAGGATTGTTTGGATATTCTTCTAAGGTATGATTATTGCCAGGATTTGGCGCTTATTTTGATTGTGCATTTTATGATAATATCTTCTAGAAATACCATTAAACAGGGCATGCTTACTTATCTTAGGCACCTGATACCATCTCTGGAATTTCCAGGGGGGTCCTTTTTCATACTTTCTTCTTAAATTTGTATAGTTTAAAGATTTTTTTTAGATCGATCTCTGATCGTTATCTTCAGTGTGATAAATTCTGTGAATTACCAGGTAAATTATTGATAATTTTTCTAATAGATCATGATAATATATTTTCCTTAATACGCTATTTAGATCACCTGAGTCGAAGGCTCAAGTCAGCTTTTTTGATCAAAATTTGTCCGTTGTCTGTCGTTGTTGGTGTTGGTGTTATTGTCGTCGTTTTCACATTTTCATCTTCTTCTCACAAACCACTGGGCTGACTCAACTAAACCTAGTACAGAGAATCTTTGGGTAAAGGGATTCAAGTTTGTTCAAATCAAAGTAATGTCCTCTTCCAAGGGGAGATAATTATGAATTAGTAAAAAATCTTTCTCTCAAGAACCACTGGGCCGGGAAAGATGAAACTCATGTGGAATCATCCTCAGGTAGTGCAGATTCAAGTTTATACAAATCATGATCCCCTGACATAGGATGGGCCACAATTTGAGATCAAATTTTAACATAGGAATACATAGGATTTTTTTTTCATAAAAATCTTCTCAAGAACCACTGGGCTAGAAATATGAAACTCATGTGGAAGCATCCTCAGATAGTGTTTATTCAAGTTTTGATCAAATCATGACCCCCCGGGGGTATGGTGGGGCCACAATGGGGATCAAAGTTTCACAGGAATACATAAGGAAAATCTTTAAAAATCCTCTTCTCCAGACCCCAGGGCCAGGAAATATGAAACTCATTTGGGAGCATCCTCTTGTAATATAGATTCAAGTATGTTAATATTATGGCCCCGGGGAAGGGTGGGGCTACAATGGGGGATAAAAGTTTAATAGTGATACATAGGACAAATCTTTAAAAATCTTCTTCTCCGGAACCACCGGGCCAGGAAATATGAAACTCATGTGGAAGCATCTTCTTGTAGTATAGATTCAAGAGTGTTAAAATCATGACCCGGGAAAGGGTAGGGTATCAAAGTTTATCATAGGAATACATAGAACAAATCTTCAAAAATCTTCTCAAGAACAACAGAACAACAAAGCCATGATTGATCATCAAAATAAAAGCATCAAAAAGGTAATTCAGATTTAGATTTGTTCAAATCATAGCCAAGCAGGAGAATAGAGGAGCCATTAAAGTGGATCATAGTTATACAATGGAATATAAAGGCTACATCAATCAAAATTTTCATTTTATATACAGCAAAGCCTTGATTTGATTTGAACATACTTTATTATGTAAGAAATACATAAACGGATTGGGCAGCAGGCATGGTCAATATAAGCCCTCTCCAAAACAGCAAAGCCTTATTTATCATAATGATCAATTTAAAAACATTCTTAGGAATTGTAGATTTGAGTTTGAACCCCCTTCCTGGGAACCCTTTTTTACATTTAACTTTTCAAAACTGAATTGATTTTTGCTATTACTTTGCCAGTTGCTAGGTAAGCGATGTGACCCCTGTTAATGTGCCTCTTGTTATATTTCTAAGAACTCATTTTCAAAATACATGTAAATTCAATTATATTCACAGATTTTGTGGAGTTCAAGACCCCACCTGGTCAGAGTTGAAGCAATTTGTTCGCTTTCTGAACAGGCAACTTGTGGACTACGAAAGAAGTAACTTTTGTACAGCTGCTTCGGAGCAAGACCTACCAGGATTCTGCTCATTTGTTGTGCGCTTTCTCGTGAGAATGTCTGAGGTATTGGATTGGTATTTTGCTAAACAATTGATTTTTTTCAGTACAAATGTTCTTAAATTGACATGTGTATTTAAACTTCGAAAAAATTTTGAATATTTACATAGAATAAAGTAAAGAAAGTTCTAATTATTTATGGTAAATAAGGGGGTTGAAAAATATACTTTATGGTTTTAAGATTACTGATTTTATCATTTTAAAGGATTTTGCAACAAGATCAATAGAAATAAGTGAGCAACTAGGCCAAGAAGCTATGCGAATGAATGTGGATCTAGATGACTTAAAGAATTATGAAATGAGAAGATCTTGGGAGGATGGGTATATTGTTTTCTTATTTCAAGTATCTACGTAGTCCTAAATACTAGTAATCTGTAAAATTATTCTAGCGTCTAGTCTCTTGCGAGAATGAATTGGTCATTTGGTGACATACTCTCAAGATTATAATCATACTACTGATAGCCAGTACAATCAAGGCCAGAGGGCCTGTTTTCAACATCTTTTCAATTGTTTTTTAAGTAAATGACTATGCTCACCTTTGCTTTGTGAAGGTCACATCCTTACCTATTTTTCAATGCTGATGGAGGAACATTTACTTTTGCTGGGTTTAACATACAAGAAGAAACCTTAAACCTCATTGACCAGAAGACCAATTCCATATTAGAGGAAAAGATACTCACAAAAGAATTATATGATGCATTGAAGCTCCAGAAAGTTGAACTTAATGAGCAGATGTCTTCACTTTCTAGGTAACTTAAGCCAGGTGTTACATCTAAAAAATTTAAGAGCTGAATTAAACGATGCTTATGTTAACGTGGTAGTTAAGAGTGGTTAAAAAATTTACGCTCAATACTTTTCCTTATATGCATATTTATTACATTTTATCTTTTAATTTTTGATAAATCATTTTAAATCAATGTTTATGAGTAAAATTTGAGAGATCAAATATTGTCAATTCTATGTTGTTCTACAATTTTGTAATTAATGTTTTTATGACGTCAGAGTTTTAACGATCACAATTATAAAATTCAAAAACTAATTGGTCTTATAATTTACACAATTTAACATTTTTATCATGTTTTAAAAGCAAATCCTTGTTGTTTAATGAAATATATAATATATGTTTCCATTTTATATTTTTTAAATATTTTATTAGGAAGAAACTGCTTGAAAAGATGTGGAAGTGTATGGGCAAGTTTGACTATGAGCACGATCCGGACACAACTTACGAAGTTACAGCGGATAACGTGAAGAAGATGCTAGCTATATATATGAGATTCAGGTTCAATGTAGATCTTTTAAATAACATTTTTTATCTTGTGTGAGTTTTATATTTGGCTGTTGTATTTTTTTTGGGGGGGGGGATAAGGATCAAAATGCAAGGCTTCTCCACAATCAGTCATTATTCCTGTGCCAAAGCTAGAAAGTCGCTTTTTGATGTTCATATAAACTGTTCAATATACAATACTAATATGATATACATGTACAGTACTTTTTTAACGTCAATTTTATATATTATGCTTTATTAGGAATATTGTTGTATCACCAAACTGACCTTTATTTGAAACAAGAACTAATAAATAAAGACTTAATAATAAAAAATAATCATATTTCAAAGGAAATATTCACTCAAGCACAATTTCATATTCCATACTCATGCGGATGAATTAGGTAAGATATCAAAGTCTTTGAATATAAGAATACACAAATTTCTCATGAAATTTTATGTTAAAGGGATTTTGAATGGAAACATATATATAATATTTTGTTACGGAGATATTTTGAAAAGATGAATTTATCATATTACTTGAGAGACACTCAAGAATCTTGGATATCTAGTTCATTTCTGACAAGTGAGTGTTATATATTTAGCTGTATTGCGGTGTCATTTTTATCATTTGGAACAAGTTTGAATAACTTTATTTGGATAAAACATACATGCGTATGCCCAGGGATCTGGTTTTGTGGATGATATTTTTTTAAAAAAAAAAAGTATTTACCGGATTACATGCTTTAAGTTTGTACATTATTGCCATACATGTAGGTCACCCACTATATTTAAGTATACACATCTGATTTAATACTAACGTGATGTGATAACTAACTGATAACTAACTGTTTTCAAAACTTTTTAATATTTTACAGGGCTGGCATTCCCGTCGTTATTATGGGTGAAACTGGGTGTGGTAAAACAAGGTTGATCAAATATCTTTCTCAGCTACAATGTCCTGAGAGCCACTTCCAGAGTATGATTTTAATGAAGGTACTTGAATAATGCCAAGGAAAATCTTTCATCAATTTCGTCAATTTCATCGACTCTGAGGATGTATGGAACCTTTGATTGTATAATTTTTTTTAAATTATGATATTTGTATTTTCAGATTCATGGGGGGACGACAGAAGAAGACATAAAGAATAAGCTATTTTTAGCAAATGATATAGCACAGGAAAATGTTACCAAGTTTGGTGGTGATATTTTTACCATCTTATTCTTTGATGAGGCAAACACTACTGAACATATTGGACTTATAAAAGAAGTGATGTGTGATGGATCTTTTCAAGGAGCACCAATTGAACTTTGCCCTTCACTGAAAATCATCGCTGCCTGTAATCCATATCGAAGGTTTCTTGTTTTTTCCTTTCGTTAAAAACTGGTTTTTAAAAAAAAATAATTATAGTAATATTTAGAATTTTACGTACTTAAAGTGTTCGCAACGTGATCAGCCAGCATACTTTCAACCATCAATACATGTACATGTAGCCTGCAACTGAAGTTATTTTGTATTATATGAACAGCCCTAATCATCTGTTCGTTTCTCTTTTTAGGCACTTAGTATTGGGGGAGGTATAGGCACGAGATTTAGCCCCACACATTTTTTTAAATATAAGCTTTTTTGTAGAAAATATTAATTGTATTCAGTGGTTGCCTTTTTTCTGTTACAGCATGCAGCATAGTCAAAATAAGGATTTTCATGTTTTGAGAATTATTTTTTTTCTGTTAAGTATTTCTGGTGATCACAATTTTCCCCTCGATCCCCCCCCTTTCGAATACGATACCGATACTACCTGCGTACAATCTACTCAATATTCTTGTAGTGGAGAAAGATCGGGCGGTCTTAACTGATACAAAAAAAAATCATTTTGCCTTTTTGTACTGTTTTACCCTTAAATCAAGGTCATTAATTTAAGATATGTTTACTGACAGAAAAAGTGTATGTTTTGTGTTTGGTCCTGTAACTTTCCAGAGGAAAAACAAAATTTAATAAGATATTTACCCTGAAATATCTAAGGAGTAGAGGAAATGTAATGACGTTGGGCCAATTTTATTTTATTGAAGTATCGAAACTTTTAATAAAAGAACACCTCTTCTCATATGTTCACACATAAGAACAGAATAATGATGAGGGGAAGATTATTGTTCCATGCCTACCAGGTAGTTCATGGCATTTGATGTACATGCATTTACATCAATCTAACATTCACAAGTCTTGAGGGTATATACATGTATATTTGACCTCATAAGAATCCTTTTTAAGGTATATATGAGAATTATTAATTCTTACGTGCTCCCTTCCTTCATTCATAAAAATATTAAAACATCTTAACCTGTATTTAATCCGAATAGGGCTTATACCTGGTGTGATTCACATTAAGACAAGATGTCACTGATGGAAAAGTAAAAAAAATTATGCTCTATTTCATCTGTATGAAAAAACAATACAAGAAATATGTATGTATATTGTTTAACCCCCCCCCCCTTTTCAAGATTTTTTCACTCATATAGAGACGTCACCACTCGACGAGCAAGAGCTGCAAATTTTCTCCTATTCACGTCTCCGCCAATGAGCAGTGAGGATCTTCTTCAGTGCAAGCACCTTTTGCAACACTATATATCGGTTAATCCCCTCATCCAAAAGGCAAGTCTTCAAGTCGGACAGATTTGGATTCGAACCCGCAAACTCCTAATTATTCCGACTCTAGAGTAGGTGTTCTTATCACTGCGCCACGCAGAAACACAACAAAATATACAATCATTTCACACTAACCGTTGTCAACTGATTTTATTGTTATAACAGGCACGGTGAAGATGTTATCAAACGTTTGGAGGAAGCAGGTCTTGGATACCGTGTTGATGCAACAGACACAGTCGATAAACTTGGTAATCATTTTTATAAATCATTTCCTGCTGAGTATTCTTTGCTGATTTGTTGTAATTTATTTGAACTCATTTTACCAAATGTCGTAATATTTTTAAGGTAAAATACCAATGCGACATCTTGTGTACAGAGTACAACCACTTCCGTCAAGTATGTTGAGTTTAGTATGGGACTTCGGACAACTTGATTCGTCAACTGAAGAACAGTACATAATGCAAATGGCAAAGAAACACGTAAATATACCTCTGTTCAAAATAATTTTAACCATAACCTATGAACAATTCTACTTTAATACGTATTATGCATTGATGACTATGCTGCAGTGTATTACTGCGCGAGAGCCAAATTCCTTTCAATGAATTTTTAGCTCACCTGAGCCAAAGGCTCAAGTGAGCTTTTCTGATCAAAATTTGTCTGTTGTCTGTCGTTGTTGTTGTATTGTCGTCGTCGTTGGCGTTGTCGTAAACTTTTTACATTTTCATCTTCTTCTCAAGAACCACTGGGCCAATTTCAACCAAACTTGCCACAAAGTATCGTTGGGTGAAGGGGATTCAATTTTGTTCAAATGAAGGGCCAAGCCCTCTTCAAAGGGGAGATAATTATGAATTAGTGAAAAATTAATGGCATTTCTAATTAAAAAAAAAACGTCTTCTCAAGAACCACTGTGACCCATGAAAGATGAAACTCATGTAGAATCATCCTTAGGTAGTGTAATTCAAGTTTGTTCAAATCATGACCCCCGGGGTATGGTGGGGCCACAATGGCCAAGCCAAAGTTTAGCATAGAAATGTATAGAAAAAGTCATTAAAAATCTTCTCAAGAATAACAAATTCATGATTAATCATATTTACATGGAAGCATCCTCAGGTAGTGTAGATTCAAGTTTGTTCAAATCATGACCCCCGGGGTTAGGGCGGGGCCACAACGGCCGACCCAATTTTACGTAGAAATATATAGGAAAATTCTTTAAAATCTTCTTCTTAAGAATAGTAAAGCCATGATTGGTCATATTTATATGGAAGCATCCTCAGGTAGTGTGGATTCAAGTTTGTTCAAATCATGACCCCCGGGGGTAGGGTGGGGCCACAATGGCCGACCAAAGTTTTACATAGAAATATATGGGAAAATTCTTGAAAAATCTTTTCAAGAATAACAAAGCCATGATTGATCATATTTATATGGAAGCATCCTCAGTTAGTGTAGATTCAAGTTTGTTTAAATCATAACTCCCCGGGGGTAGGGCGGGGACACAATGGTTGACCAAATTCTTTAAGAATCTTCTTCAGAATAGCAAACCCATGATTGGTCATGTATTTATATGGAAGCATTCTGGGGTAGTGTATATTTCAAATTTGTGCCCTCAAGTTTCAAGATTCAAGTTTTAAAGCATGTACACATACCCTCTCACCTTTTAGGAATGGTTGGGACTACTTTTGGGTTTAAACTTTTCAATAATAAACTAATATCTGCTTTTATGCTAGCCACAGTGCTCAGGTGAGCGATGTGGCACATGTGCTTCTTGTTTCATGCTATAATAAAAGTTAAAGTTAGATTTTTGGGAAATTGCTCCCCCCCCCAGCTGCATGCCTGTAGGGTTTCCTTAAATAGTAAACATTTTTTAATGTGCAGACTGATGAGCAAATGGAAATTTCACAACGACCAATAACAGCTATTAGAGGAACTTTCAATCTTCGAAACACAAACAACATTCAAACTGTTGTGTGCAAAGTTCTTCAAGAATCACAAGACTACATGAGAAATGAGAAGGTACAGTTTATTTTCAAGATGGAAACACTGCCATTTTATAAGTGACTTTAACTGCCTCAGAAGAATAAAAATTTCTGTTAAAGTATCCTATTAGGTAAAAAGAGCAAATAGTGTTATGGAGCTGTGTCAGATTTGTTTGGAAAGCAGTATTTTTAATTTTAACTTTAAATAATTTGGTACGTTTTCAAATAAATCTCACAAATATCAATGATTTTGCCTAGAACTTCGATAATTTGTTCTGAGATACAAAATCTATGTATTTATAAAGAAAAATACCAAAACTTTTATCCGTAGAAAGGGGAATAAATACGGTCATTGATTTAAAAGTGTACCATTTGATATCAAGTTGTGTTGATAATAAGTACAGTATGTTAATTATTGTGAGGCTCTCAAATAAACTTGCCCGACCAATGAACAAAACTGTATCAAAACACCGAATTTACCCGCACAGAAAAGTGGTGTTAACTTCCACAGAAACATTTTATGCTTCGATGTTTCGGATGTCTGAATGGTGTTAAGGTCTCACACAAGGAAATAATTTCACTTTTTAATACATGTACCTTAAAAAATCTGTTCCTATACAAATCGATACAAAAAAGTCTTAACATTTCTTATGTTTTGCTGAGCGGGCATAAAAAATCGATGTTGGACCGCTGAGTGAGATGTCGGACCATGATGAGAATGTTGGAACGCTTCATAAGAATTCGTGGAGCTTAATACTCATTTTTTTTCACGCGGTGGTGTTGATGATGAGAGCCCGAGGTTATATGAAGCCGTACGAAAGACACATGTATATCAAAAATTAAATAAAATTAAAGGTATAACAAAACATTTAATTAGTTCTCAGGCAAAATGTATTGAAGGCCGATATTAGCTCTTAATTATTTTATATTAGTTTTTTGTATTTTTTCAAAGAAAAAAATACAAAATAATTCATATAAAATGTTCAAGAGCTAATGTGGGCCTTTCAAATGCTGAAATCATTGTTTAAAAAGGTTGACTCAGAGATCTATAAATAAAAAGTTGGTGTGGCATTCCTCAATCCATTAATATTTGCTAAAGATATAGATATTCTCAGACATGAGTCCAAAATTTAAATAGTTGACCTACAAAAATTGCTGAAAATGAAAAAGAAAAATAAATTGTCTCTATGTATATAGAAATTCATTTGACCAAGTTCATTTTGATTGGCTATTTCCTTGCGTAAGACCTTAAACTCAACATTGCTTTAATCCTTTGGACCAGCATTTCGAAAATGCTTAAGCGTAATATGACGCTTTTGTATAAGAATCATTTAGAGAAGGTCTATTGAACTTAATAGGAATCGCAGAGGAAGGGAAGCTTTACATACAAAAAAACATTTCACGTAGAAAACCTTCCGTATTCTTCAAATGTGATGTATCATGATAGATATTAGTCCTTCGTGTATGCATTGTGATCCTCATATGCACATAAGAATAATTATTTTTAAAATTTGCTTCAGAACGAATGCAGCTTTGTCAGTTTAAGAGACGTAGAAAGAGCCCTTTCTGTAATGATGTGGTTCCGCAGACACAAAATTATGGATGAATTAGAAAAGCTTTCTGAAGTGGATGAGATTGTAAGATGATGAAGAATTATTTAATTTAAATTTTCAGTTTTAAGTATCTGTTTCTTTTCCGTTTCTTATAATTGCTATAGTATATTGCTTGATCTTAGATTTTTGATCATGAAAACATCCTCATGAAAGGAAATCACGTCTACAAGGGTTCTCCTTATCTTCCTTCGAATTCATAATACTGTAACATTTCCAGATAATTTTTTAGTATAATAATTCGGTACTTTCCCAAAAACAGCATATTTTTGATATTGTTCATTTTTTTTCAAAAGTATTAAACTGTCTTTTTTAAACAGAAACTGAGTAGAGACACGAGGGCTCTGGTGTTGTCATCAGGGGTATGTTACCACGCGGCACTGAAAGACAAGGCGAAATACAGGGAACACATTGTCAATTTTTTTAAGGAACCGTTGCATATTCCTGGTTTGGCCCAACAATTTCTTAACGAAATATCCAGGTACTTAATAACTTTGTAAACACGAGGTAAGTAGTTAAGCATTGTTGTTTAATTTTTCTTACATTTTTTATTGACTTGAAAATTTTATCTAAAATATTTTCAAAACATCCAAAATATATGGTTGTCTAATGTTCATTATTTGTTTTTAGATGTCAAGATCTCATCTTGAAAAACGTTCGGCTAAACAGAAAGATTGCAAAAAATACAGCTCTGAAGGAAAATGTATTCATGATGGTGATATGTATCGAACTGAAGATACCGCTTTTTCTTGTCGGTAAACCTGGCAGTTCGAAGTCTTTGTCAAAAATGGTTGTTGATGAAGCAATGCAAGGAGATTTTTCCTATGGGGAGCTATTTCATAATTTTAAGAAGGTATGTGTAAGAATATGGTTTAATTATTACAACTGTATCATGGGAGACATATTTCTCTGCTTTATAAATTAGTTGCTGATATTTCAAGTATATATTTCAGCTGGATAATATTACTTCTGAAACCTTTCTCTATATCCTAATTAGACTATAGATAAGCTTATGTGATATCGAAATATTGAATTATTTTAAAAACATAAAGAAATCTTCAACTTCAATCACAGTTTATAATAATAATGAATATGTAACTTTCTAAATAACCGAGTTTCTTGTCTCGATAGTAGTATAAGCGGCCTGGTTGGGTGGGTCAACCCAGTGCACTTTTGGCCCTGGGGGATAGGTGGGTCAAGGGAGTGCAGGTTGGGGGTCTGGGGATAGGGAGGTCAACTGATTACAGCCCTAACCCTAACCCCTAACCCTAATCCTAACCCTAACCCTGGGGCTAGGTGGGTCACAGTACACAGTCCTATATGTCCAATAGGGCGCTTACACTGTACTAGCTTCTTTTTTTTACTACGCTGCTACTACGGTTCAACGCTGCTACTACGATTTGGTAGCAAGTCAAGAATGTGATTATGACGTCACGTTTTCATTCACAGTCAAAGCCTAGCCAGTTCAAACTGGATTTTCCGAAAACAATAACAACACAATACAGACAATAACAGATTTTATTCAGAATAAAATACATACAGAATTTACTTTTTCTTCTTCCGTGCCTTTTTCAGGGATCTGTAATCAATCACTCTGTTACACCCCAAAGTTGACAATAAATATTGAAGACAGTCTTAAAGCGGCTACGAGTATTCAGGTAGTAGGCGTAAGTGTCTGGAATCCTTCTCTTTTCCAGGTCCAGGAACAAATCTTGAAGACAGTCTTCTGAATTTCTGTACCAGATACTTCTATCCAGAATACCAAGATCACCCTCGATTGACCATCTGTATTTTGTAGGACCATTCAATCCCTCAAGACAGCTGAACACTAAGTTTCTTGTCTTAGGATAATCTTCAGCATGATTTTTTTTTCTTCTTTCAAACCACACTCTTTGGCTATATTCTCTTTGGATAGATTCTGTGGAATGGATTTTAAAATTTATGAAATCCTGTATGGCTTCTTCTTGGGTTTTCATCCAATGTCCCTTCTTGTCAGTATAGTCTTCAATAAAGCAACGATACTCCGTTTCCTCTATCATATTTTTTGCCTGCTCCATTTTACCTGTGTCTAGTTCCAAGTGCTCACGCAGAGTGATCCTCAATGTCCAGCGCTGGTTTATATAGCATGGGTTTGTTTAAGGTCGTGTGCAAAAATAAGTTGGCATTACGCTTTGATCGTACTGTGTACGTCTCTGTACACTGTCTAGTCAGCGACCTTACCTATGCATTGTGACGTCATCCACTGTATAAATAAGGCTTTTCACCGACTTTCGGCTCATTTTACAGTCAGAGCCATCAGCTCTTGGGCATGGATTCTACTAGAGAAAAACAGTTACATGCTCAACGATTATTGAAATGGAAAAGAAGGGAGAGAGAATTAGATCAAATTCTTTATGAGAAAAGAGAGCAAGAATTAAAGCTCAGGGGAAAAAAGCCGAAATATTAAAGAGAAGAGCTCTACTAGAACAACAACAAAGACAACTACAGCATCAACAAAGGACTAGGGCGCATGAGGGACCAAAATCACCTATTCATTCACCACCGAAACCCAAGGCGATTTCCAAGTATTATCAAGTAAGACTTAATAAAACTATACAATCCAAGAAATTTAAAGCTAAGGAAAATATCTATACAGTCAATTTCAAAGAGTTTCCAGAGGAGGAAAACAGAGGATTCGTTCGTCGATTGTTACAAACGGTCAAATCGGAAATGCAGTGTAATCCTTACGATTACCTACGCCTGAACATACGCCACAATTCTTTGGATTCAGAAATTGGTACGAGTTTACGCAATGTAAACGTTTGAACGAGGACCTCATTTTAGACAAGATAGAAGCCGTGCAACAATCCAAAAAGGAGTTCAAACTGGGCGACGGCTCCATGGAATTCGATTTGTTTCATGTCAAGTATTCTGAGGGCAGTGGTGGAGACAGAACCAAACATTTAATGGTGAATAAGGAGACTTTCAAGAACAATAAAAGAGCCATCGTTCGGATCGTCAATCCCTGGGATAAATTTTGTTTAGCTAGAGCCATCGTTGTCACCCGGTTACACAGTCAGAAACCGGAACATCCAGACCCCGAATGGGAAAAACGATGGCTACGCATGAGATTAGGAGATGTAAGAGCCAATGACCAGAAACGAGAAGCAATAGCCCTCATGGAACAGGCCCAGTGTGATATCAATCAGTCTTGTGGACCCCGAGAATGGGTGAAATTACAACAGGTGTTAGCTCCTCGGTATCGACTAAAAATATTTCAGTTCAAGTCCACTTCGACTAAACTCTGTTTAGAGCCTATTTACAAAGGCTGGGGAGATGGAACTTATTTGAACATTTTGTTAGACGACCATCATTGCGATGCCATCTTATCCATGCCGGGAGTAACGGGGAACCAATATTACTGTGATCATTGCGATGTGGGGTACAGGACTGTCACAGTGCCCTCATCGCTGTAATTTTTGTTTAGGAGACACCCCATGCCCCGAAGACGGGAGTCGCATTCGATGTCAGCAATGCCAAGGATTTTTTAAGAACAGGACCTGCTACGAAAATCATTTAAGACCCCATAGCAAGAAAACGACCACCAGTGTATGCAGTTTAATGGGACGATGCGAGAAATGTCAGTCTTGGATACCCAAGAAATTATTTCCTCGTCACAAGTGCGGAGGACAGAAACAGTGTAAGATCTGTAAGAAGATCGTCGATGCCGATCATCAGTGCTACATTCAACAGAAGCCTGAGAAGAAGAAAGGGAAAGACACCTTACAGTTTTACATCTATTTCGATTTCGAATGCACTCAGGAAACCGGCATCCACATCCCTAATCTGTGTGTGGCACACCGCGTCTGTCAACATTGCAGTCACTTACCCATAGACCAGCCCTGTCCTCATTGTCAACACATGGGACCCCGTCAGCACATATTTAAAGGGTCAGAGACCTTAAAGAAGTTCATGGACTGGTTATTACAACCGACAACAGGTACTAAGAATTCCACTTTAGTACACGACGAGGCCATCGTCATCGCCCATAACTTCAAGGGATACGACGGACAATTTATTTTAAATCACCTGGTTCATTCCTCTTGCCTGAAACCTAACGTCATCATGAACGGCAGAAAGATCTTGTACATGGAAATTTGCGGACTGAAATTCATCGATTCCTATAATTTCTTACCCTTTGCATTGGCCAAGATGCCCTCTGCTTTCGGATTCAACGAACTGAAGAAAGGTTACTTTCCCCACTTTTTTAACACGGAACAGAACCAGAATTACGTGGGGCCTTATCCACCCGCAGATGACTACAAACCGGACGAAATGTCTGTCAGCGGACGACAGGCCTTTTTCGAATGGTACGAACAACAGACCGGAAAAATCTTTGATTTCCAGAAAGAGTTTGTAGATTATTGTGTCTCAGACGTCGACATTTTACGACGATGCTGTGCACAGTTTAGAACCACCCTCAAGAGCTTAGTTCATGTCGACCCTTTCCAGGAATGCATCACGTTTGCCAGTGCTGCCAATTTAGCCTACCGTCGAATATTCATGCCTAAAGAGACCATTGCCATCATTCCAACCTCGGGTATCAGCCAACACGACAATATTCGGCCAAAGCCTGTTGGTGGCTCACCTGGATGAGTCAACAGAGCGGATGTCACATACGGCATGCCAGAAACGGGGGCGAAGTCAAGATCGAAATTATACCGTCGACGGATACCAGGAAGCGACTCGTACCGTCTACGAATTTTACGGGTGCTATTGGCACGGATGCCCCACCTGCTAGCCCAGTCTACAGACCGAAACTCATCCTCACCGGACCCAATTTACTTACCAGGATTTACACGAGGAAACCCTCATAAGGAGTTTGGCCTTGGAGGACATGGGGTACACCGTCCGTAGTATCTGGAAGCACGATTTCGATCAGCAAGCAAAGAGATGTGAGTTTACAGCATTTTGTACGAGACCTGGACATTCCCGATCCTTTGAACCCTCGAGACGCCCTGTACGGAGGTCGGACCAATGCCACACGATTATATTGTGAGGAAGGGGACATGAGATACGTGGACGTCTGTTCCCTATACCCTTACGTGTTGAAACACAGACCTTTTCCTGTAGGGCATCCCGAGATCATCACAGACGAGTTCCAGGACGTGAGAAGTTATTTCGGTCTCATTCACTGTCGGGTCTTACCACCCCGAGGTCTCTTTCACCCCGTATTACCTTATAGGACGGGAGGCAAGTTATTATTTCCCTTATGTCGAACGTGTGCCGAACAACAGGACTCTACTTCTCAAGATCGATGTCCACACACCGACCAGGAACGCAGTCTCACGGGCACCTGGGTGAATACCGAATTAACATAAAGCCCTAGACATGGGATATACCTTAGAGCGAATCTACGAAGTGTGGCATTTTAAAGAAAGCAGACAGGATTTATTCAGACACACTACATCGATACCTTCCTCAAGATCAAACAGGAACGCGGGTATGTTAAGGAAGCATATAAGTAATTTCTCGGGAAATTTGAATTTTTTGAAGAAAATTTAGTTAAATAAATTACCAAAACCACTGATAAAGTTAACGTAAACTGTTATTTACTATTGCATTCAGATAAAAGCGTGTCTAACGCAAAGACGTGCATCACCGCCACGGCATCATGTGACTTCTATTAATAGCAAAATTTTCCTTAATTAAAAGGCTTACAGAACAACAATACCCCGGAGTTTGATAATTTCTTTGAGTATGTAATATAGTTGAAAAAT